ATTCTTATTAAGATGAGTGGCTTTCTGTGTAAAAGTCCCCTTTCTTATCCGGGTGTAAAAATGCAAGTGCAAGTAAAGTATAAAAGCAATGTGTATGTTAGTCTCAAATTTATTCTGTTTTGGTAATTCGTGCAAAGAATGCAGATGCAAACTGGGTTAAGGGAACAAGTGCTAAGTCACTTCTAGACTTGCATTAGACCTCTTAGCAAAGCTCATCATAGCTCTTAAAAAGTTAAAGAAAAATATCACTGCACAGCTTATTACTAGCTTCTGGTTCAGAAAGCAAAAATACAGTTCCAGAGTTCAAATGCCTTCCAAAACAGAATCTGAAAGCAACGGTATTTTTGGCTTATATTTGGGTTAGGCATCCTTCAAATATTTAGCTTTAATCTTGAGTTAAAAACTCTAGATGCTCAGATTAAAATATATTGTGCTGAACATTGGCTTTATTGCCTCAGTAGGATGTTCCTTCCAGCAGAAGGTCTACTCAAGCGCTCCTCACTCTTCACATCTGTATAAAACATGAACGTCAATCAGTTATGTCTACCACCTGTTTCTTAAGTTGCCAACAAGACCTTAGCCTTTAAAGTTGCTTATTCTTGTTGAGAAAAGACTCCAGAAGTCTCCCCTCAGTCTGTAAAGATGATAACAGTGTTAATTTTCCTTATTATATTTTGGGTAGATGATAAAAGTAGATATCCAACCAAACAAATCTTAACCTTTGTAATGAAAAAATGGCAAAAAATCAATCTTACCATTGTCCTTGTCAATAAAGGTGATGATGCAGGACTGAAACAGTATTTGAACTCATTTTCATTTACCATCTCCTATCTTGGTGCACTGATACAGAAACACTGTAAGATTTTTAGATGGGACATCAGCTGTCTAAGAGATGAAACTAATACCTTAGACAAAAACTGTGCAAGCTGTCAGTTTAAAAGAGGCAATTAAAATGCAACTCCGTTACCCTTCTCTCTACTCAAAACAATGCAATGTAGAATATGAACCTAATTTACAAAATTTGTTTGATAAATCTCAAACAGCCATCATGTCATTAGTTCTAACTGAGGAGTCTGCTGGCATTGCCACTCTCCCTACCACCCATTCCAGGTTCCTCAACATCAACAAAATCTACACTCTTTTAGTTTAAAACCATTACCCCTGATCCTATCGCAACAGGCCCTGCTAAAATGTTTGTCCCCATCTTTCTTATAGGCCCCCTTTAAGGACTGGTAGGCTGCAGGAAGGTCTCCCCGGAGCCTTCTCTTCTCTAGAATGAACAAGACCAGATCTCTCAGCCTCACCTCACAGGAAAAGTGTTCCACCCCTCTGGTCATTTTTGTGGCCCTCCTCTGGACCTGCTCCAACAGCTCCCTCCTGTGCTGAGGGCTCCAGAGCTGGACGCAGGACCCCAGGTGGGGTGTCACCAGAGCGCAGTAAAGGGGCAGAATCCCCTCCCTCACCCTGCTGGCCACGCTGCTTTGGATGCAGCCCAGGATGCGGTTGGCCTTCTGGGCTGCGAGCGCACATTGCCGGCTCATGTCCAGCTTTTCACCCACCAGTACCCCCAAGTCCTTCTCGGCAGGGCTGCTCTCAATCCCTTCATCCCCCCAACCTGTATTGGCACTGGGGATTGCCCCGACCCAGGTGCAGGACCCTGCATTTGATAGCTCATGTCCAGCTTTTCACCCACGAGTACCCCCAAGTCCTTCTCGGCAGGGCTGCTCTCAATCCCTTCATCCCCCCAACCTGTATTGGCACTGGGGATTGCCCCGACCCAGGTGCAGGACCCTGCATTTGATACACTTGTAAAGAAGCATTAAGCAATAAGTACATTAATTTGTGTACTGCATTTATGGAAGGAGTAGGAGTATGATCCATAATACATTTAATGGGGAACCACACTGCATGGTTTTCAGTAAAAAACCCCACAACAGAATCTGAGGTCCAGATGGCTGTTTTTAATGAAGTTTTGACACCTTTTCAGCAGCTAGGGACATCTTCAGTACAGTGGTGTTTGTGGATGAGGGGTGTAAAATTGTATCTCAGAGAGTAATGACAGAGGGCTAAGGTCAGCTTTGTGAAAGAAGCTTCTTCTGAAGAAAGTTCACAATGACCAGGTCAAGAATCTGCTCTGAATTGCACTCTGGTGGACTTCTCCTTCAGCAGAAGAGGAGCACGTATGGACTGGTCACGCTGAACTAAGGCTCGTCGCTTTTATGCACCAGGTTACAAACTCAGGACCATGCCTCTGATCACAGAAGCTGCACAGCAGCTGCTGCTTAAGCTCTCTATCCAAATTTACAGACGATGTGCTGTTTTTAAAGTGAGGGAGGCTCATGTAGTAACTATTTCTTTCCTTTTGCATATATCTAATGTCTGTACCTCCTCTTCTGTGGGTAGTCTTCTGAAGTTCCTCTGAGATACTATCTATGCCGCACCCAATAAAAGCTATATATCTTTTTCAAAAGCAAGTAAAGAAAAAAGGTGTGAGGTGTGCCACTCCCTCTTCCCTCTCTATCCCTCTTCTTTTCTAAAAGTTCTTCCAAATTATTTTCCCTTTGGTTGGGGTTGACATTCAAAATGTTGAATGTGAATATATTCACCACAACAGCAAGACTTCACTTCTCTTTAGAAAAGAAAACCTTTAGACATTTGCTTTTATGGACTCTCAGAAAGGCCATCAGGAAACCTCAGAATATTTAGATATCGGATAATTACAAAGGAGTGATCCAAACTTTTAAATGCTTATCCAAACGACTTTGAACAGTTAGATGTTTCAAGGTCAGACAGTCAATACAATCTCTGATTAGTAGTGCTGAGCAAATATCTAAAGATTTTGCTCAGGAAATGCTGTTTAAACATCTAAAAAAAAATCTGCTGCAGCCAATCTATTCTATTTCTTGAGTTCACTTTCAGCTCAGCATTCAAATGACTATATTTTATTAGAGCAAAGAAAAATCAAAAATATGGATACTCACAATCAATGACATTGCATTCATGTGCACAACTAAACAAACCAATGTGCTTGCATATAGTAGGCAAAAATTGGAGTGAAATACCGTAGTCAAAAATGAAAAACGTAAACACATAAAGAAATTGTAATATGCTTGTGGGTTGCCTACAAGCAGAAAATGACACAAAGCAAATTGGATAAATTTTTCTTTATAAACTAGTTTTTCATCTCTATGATTCAGAGTGAAAGAACAACAATTATGCATGACATTTGCTGCTGGTCAACAAATAGATCCACTTGCTTTTAGTATCCAATCAGATATGTGAGGTAGTGGTTGATTTGGGAGGAAAAACTGTCCATAAGATACCAAGATGATTTAGATTGCACTTACAAGTCTCTGTAAAATGGCAAGAGATTTTAATTGCAAACTGGTGGGTGACAGCAAGTCAGAGGAAGCCCGTCTATTCCCAGCTGTGGAATATAGATGTCGAAAGGACATAGGAACTGGAAGGATCTCCTAAACATCTGAATTTGTCCTATAAGGAAATATGTTTCTTGCTACTATCAAAGCAAGCAAAATAGAAATATGAACACATTTATCTGTTTTTATTGGAGTAATCTATTACAAACTAAAATGACTCTTTTAATTGTGTGTATATTTTGTGCTCCTGAGAGTATAAGCATTTCAAAACAATGGGGAACTGGTTGAATGCTTTCCTAACCTTGACAATCAAGCTGCCTCAACTTCTCCTCCTGCTTTCCATGTAGTTACAATCCAGAAAAAGTGTGAGAAATGTTCCCTAAAAACTGTTTAATACCCTAGGACATTTAGCAGTACTGTAGATGGAAACAAAAAAGAAAAAAGAGAAGATTTACTTAATTTAGAATTTTAATCTTACATTACAAGGGTTCTGTTTTGAAATTTGTCACTCATGGAGTAGAAAAAGACACAGTTCTGCACAGAAAGGAAGGTCTCATACATTCTGATACTCATAAATAATATACTATCAAGGAAGGATATACTTTTTAAATTCCTTTTTCAGCAGGGCTTCTACCTCATTTAAAAATGGAAACTATGTTGAAGTAAATAATAACAGAGAGTTACTTTCTTCCTCCACTTTTTTGCAGCCGTTGTTCAGTTGTGACTCTTGACATTAACCGAATGTGTGTCCCTGATTTGAAGTGGCCATGATCTAATCTCTACAAATACACATGGTAGAACCCAACAAAGATTAATTTCTGTTTCAATTTCCTTTCTTCTGTTCTAGGAAGACTATTAATTGAATAAAACTGCATCTTCTCAATTATAGTGTATCTTCTCAACGGTTCTCCTGGTGATAGGATTACAGAATGGATGGGATGTTCATCTTACCCTTGGATTTGCCACAGCTGGAAAAAGTCAGACATCATTTTTGATGCTACTTTCTCCTCTATTTGGATATCTGTTGTTATGGTGATAGTTCCAGGAGGGAACATTAATGAGGATGACTTGAAAGCTTTGATGTTTACAACACAATTATTTTTAACACCTAATAAGAAAAGGTGACAGTACATCTCCTTGCTAAATATGCATCATTGTATCAGCTTTCATGAAAATTACCTGAATTTCTATTTGTTATGTATCTGTAACACAATGTTGAATACAAATATACATACATATATACTTATATGTAATAAAAGGGATTTGTAAGAACAAAGAAACCCCCGTTTTCTCACAAAGGGTATAATTTGTTATTCCTAAGAAATTGCCTACAGCAACGACTGACTTTTAGTTATAACATAATCTTTAGAATATGTCTTGCTCTTTTGTGACACGCTACCCAGCACAACCTTCTCATATCCAAAACTAAGGTGTGAACAATGCTGCGAACCCGCATCACCCAGAAGACAGGTCTGCAGGCGCACTGCATCACCCAGGCTGTAATTCAGGGGGTAAGCAGTAGAGACAGAGGAATTAGCGGCCTGGACTCTCCCAACTCAGCGGTACTTGAGGTTCACCACCCAGTTTGGCTCACGGGTGTTACGAATGCATGCGGGTACTCACATATTCTTCATAGGCCTCGTGTGCAGGTGGCGGGGGTGGTCTGTAGCCCGGGACAGCCGGGGCACCCCTCGCTCGAGGGGTGGGGACGCCCCTCGCCACTGGGGGGACGGGGAGGGCTCCGCGGGTGACCGGCGCTCCTCTGGGTGCTTGGGCGCCTCGTCCGGGTGGGGGCGGAGGAATGGCACCCCCACGTCCCCTGCGGGGAGCAAAAAGAAGCGATCACTTTGGCGTGTACGGCGAGGGAGGACGTGCAAGTGCTACTGCATTTTGAAGGCTTTTACATTTTTACTGCTATTTAAAGTATTGTGTAACTCGGGTTTTGGCAGCTACAACATCAAGCGCTTTTGGGCAGTATCTCAGGCAGAACTCATATTATGGAAAGGCGTTACTTTTAAACCTTTTACACCTGACCCTCTTGTTGCCTGTACCAATGAAATTCCGGATCATTGTAATTCACTGAGTTGCAGAGTTACTCCAAAGTAAATCTAGAGGATGAAGAAAGTGAGGAACTTTTTCTGATGCCCTCAAACTATTTTACAAGAGCAGTCATCATTCTGATTCTCCTGTTTATTGGTGGGTAGGAGAAACTGAATGGCAGAAGACGATGCAGGATGGCAAAAACTTGCAAGGCAAAGTAGAACACGAGTATAAAAGGAGAGTAAGATTTTTTTTTTAAAGTCTAATTTAGTTCAGCACAAGGGAAGGGTGGCACAGGATTCAGCTTTCCCCCACTGTGCAAACAGAACAGCACACACAGACAAGCACAGAGAGGGTTAGCATCCTCCTGTTTATTACACGATAGCCACCTTGCTGTACTAACTGGTAAGTTAGAAGAAACTGTTACTGCTTAAAAAGAGGTTCTTGTAACTCTACGATATGACAAATTAGAAGGGGAATATAGCAGGGAAGCAATCTGTGAGTTTTGTTTCAGAGCAGTATGCTCCTGAGAGTGCTGCCTTTCCTGAAGACTGAGTGCTGGGTATAACCACGTGTGACACCCAGATCCAGAGCCGGGAATGGAAATTGGGTGTCCTGCAGCAGTATGAGCTGTGGCTTGTTCCCGACTGAGACAACCAAACCCGTAGCACTAGCTTGTGATGTTCACTACTTTATTACAAGTTTCAGCGGCCAATTTTAGAATCACAGAATTACAGAATGGTTTGGGTTGGAAGGGACCTTCAGGGACGATAGAATCACAGAATCTTTGAGTCGGAAGGCAACTTTAAAGGTCATCTCACTTTGCTTTGCTGACCATGATGTGTATGTGATTCTCTTTATTTTTTTTTAAGCTATGTTTGTGTTACCACTGTTTACACTTTCTAAAGCTATTAGCATGATAGCTGAGGTTACCACACCTTGAAGGAGCTGCAGGTGGCACACGGATCCCTCTTCCTCGAATGCCCCGTCCACGTGCTGAGTCCTCAGAACCGTTCAAGTACGACAGTTCTCTCAGCTGCTCCTGGCGAATTTCATCATTGTAATCCTGAAATGCAAAAGGTGAAACCTGCTGAAACTTTGTATTTTCTCTGAGCTTCCAAACCACCCAAACCAGAAATTAAATGGATGGTATTTGGGTGAATTGCTCTGCATTATCACCTGCATGCTGAAAAACCATACAGTGGGAGTGGACATCTACCTATAATATGCGAACAGACAAATTTACATGGGTAGTTAAGGTGGCCATAAAGAACATGTACACACAAAAAAACCCACACAAGGCACAGAAGGCATAAACACAAAACAGACACCAAGAACATATCTGTATACAAGACACAAATGGACTGTCACATACAAAAGGTACCAACCTCAAACAGCTTGAAATTTGATCAAAAAATGCATTTTATAAATATTTTATACTTTTGTGGCAGACATCCCTGGCTATCTTCATGCACTTAAAACACAAAATCCACTTTACATTGCACCTTAGCATGCAAAATTTACACTGAAGTCATTTGATTGGATGATTTAATCCAATACCAATTAGCATCATTGAATGCAGCCTTCAGTTATGCTATATATCCACTAAGCTTCTGAAAGGAGCTCTCGCTTTAGGACTTGTAAGTAACAAAACTATGTTTACTTTATTAATCTGTTACAAAAATGTGTAACAAAAATTTGCTACAAAAATTTGCTAAATGGTATAAAACAGTCTCATTCTAAGACTGCAGGGTACCAGCTCTAGCACTGCAAGCTTCTGCTGGCTCAGTAAACAGAACATCAGATGAACTTCCTTTTCTTACTGATACAAAATACGTAACAGTGGGCCATTTTTACTTATTGTGCAACCTTTGCCTCAGTCAGAAGTTCCTTTCTCTTTAGCTTCCTTCTTTTTTGTATTCAGCTCTTTGCCTGCTGATCATGGTAATAAGAGCCCGCTGCAGTAGCCGGCTTGCTGGCAGCAGAACTATGCGACAACTAATTAGTGTTTCAAAACAGAAAGGATTATTGAATTTCAGCCCTTCAGTCCTTCCATCCTTCCACAGGCAACTGCCATGGACTGTCATACAAGGGTCTGAAAATGCTACGGCGCTGGCTGCTTCTCGGGTGGGTGACCGTCCAGGACACATTACCGGTGACACTTCTTTTTAGCCAAGTTAAACACCAAGCAAACAGTGAGATGGAACCGGGGCCTTGCTCATTCCTTCTCCTTCCTGAGGAGGTCCAGGAAAGCTGTTTAAAGGTATGATGCTGACCCTGTTGTGTTCTAAGAGAGTGTAGGCCTGGTCACGATTTCCATTCTAAATACCTAGGAAGTGCAGCTGGAGTAAAATTTATTAATGAAATTCAAACAACCACCCCACTTATACAATATAGTGCGTGATATTTGCAGCAGAATCATAATTAAAACCAAATCCCTAATTTGCTAATAAAGCAGATAGTGGCTTTCAATTCACACCAATCCCCAAATCTTTTTCAAAGAATCACAGAATCATTAAAGTTAAAAAAGACCTTTAAGATCAAGTCCAACGATCAACCCAACACCACCATGCCCACTAAACCATGTCCTGAAGTGCCATGTCCACAGGTTTTTTGAACACTTCCAGTGACGGTGACTCCACCACCTCCCTGGGCAGCTTGTTAACAATGCTTGACCACTCTCCCTATAAAGAAATTTTTCCTAATATCCAATCTAAACCTCCCCTTGTGCAACTTGAGGCCATTTCCTCTTGTTCTTTCGCTAGTTACTTGGGAGAAGAGACCAACACCCACCTCGCCGCCACCCCCTTTCAGGTAGGTATAGAGAGCGATAAGGTCATTTTTGCACATTTTTCTATCATTCTAACATTAATGGTAATAAGCCAAAGACATCTTCCTAAATCAATGTGCTCTTTAAAACACAGAGGAAAAAACACAGAATCAATGAGGCCACATTTACAGCAACTGTTGAACAGGTATTGTGCCTTGCTTAACACCCTCTGTTATTCACACTGGCTTTACAAGGATTAGGACTTCAAACTTGCTGATTGAGTTTACGCTTCAGATTCCACACCAGTGCTGGGACTGAACTTCATTAATAATGCAAGTAAAGTTTGTAAGAGAAAGATGTGGGGGAAAAGAAAAAAAAGAAAGAGAAAGGACCTGCAAGGGACAGAAACTGGAACTTTCTGTGTTGCTGAATCTCTCTCCTTTGGAACACTGCAGTATAAATTAATTCTACCAGTAATGCCTCAAAGCTACTATTCCTTCCTCAGATACACGTATCATTTAAAACTTTACTATTGATGAAGCAGAAAAGCCAAATTAAATTCATAATATACAGCAAGATCTGCAAATCTGCACCATTCTGTTATGCAATGCCCTTAGTTTTTCTACAGGTTAATTACTGCATCTCCAGTTAAGAAATATGTAAAATATATTTTGAAGTGGCAAGGTAAAGACAACAAATTACAAGGAGGACTGTAATTAAGATGCTGGTATGGGTATCCTGCAAGAGAAAGATTTCTATAAAAAAATATAACTCTATATAGATCATTTATCTTATGTGCCCTTTAAAAAGCATAATGAAGATCATAATTTCTATACCCAAAATCTGAAATTTTCAATGGAAATGCTCACTTCGACTCCTTCATTAAACAGAAACATAACACTGAATTAATCTTTCATAACTGCTACATGAGTCTAGCTAGAGACAGAGTATCCTGCTGAATATTTAATTGTAGCTGAGTTCAGAGCCTACCACATGAGCAAAATTATGCTGCTGATGTTTCATATATATCTAGTCCCAAGAGAGAGTACAAGATGTTGCAAGACATACGTGTACTGAAGAAAGTATAATGAAGTAGCTACACACTGCAGCAGTATATTGTGTTTCAGAAAAAAACCCTTCTCCTCGTATTAAAATAAGCTCATGAAAAATATTCTGTGCTGCTCGGCTTTTCTTATAGCTCTCCAATAGTCTTATAGCTATTCTTACACCTGATAATCTACTTGTATGCTTTGCTCTTGTTTGTATCCTTAAAGACATTATTACCTATAAACAGCTTTTCCATTTACTGATGATACTAAAGGTGCCATCTACTCATACCACGGCGGTCAACGTTCGCAAATGACCATGGTAGGTGACCTAACCACCCATGCCTATGACTATTCACCTAAACAAGCATCTTGACTTTAGAAATACCTAGGATTTACAACCTTAACAAAGTCAGTAGCACCCAGCGCCACCGTAAATCGTAATATCTACGTAAGTGCCTAAAAAACAGATTACATATTTAGATAAAACATTCTGTATTCTAGAGTACATGAACTCGTTTACCCCAAATTACCAAAATTATGTTTATTAATGAGGGTTGGGAATTATTAATCAGGTCAGTTGCCTTGACTGCTCTGGGAACAAAGGAAACCCATTAGTACCAGAGTCTGACTGGTGGCCGCTCACCCAGGGGCCCTTCTGGCGTCAGCGGCAGAGAGGCGCAGCAAAGAGGGGAAAGCACGTGAGCTAGAGAACTCATGAAACCATTTTGGTAAAAAATAGCAAAGTATGACGCAAGCTGCAAAACCTGATCTGAATTAACAAGAACATGTAGCGGCAAGGGAGGAGAGTTAATAAAGAAATCAAAGGGTAAGGCATAAACAGATGCAACGGATTTTTGGGAATATACCATTAGCATAACAAAGGCTCATAGAAGTCAAGGATAAATCAATCCCTTAAGGACCGTGATCTCCTGTCCTGACACACTTCACACGTTTAAGTTCTTTCCATGTGTATGAATGATTTCACTATTAATAAATAACATTACTCTTACCTGTGACAGCTGAATTTCATTCTACCTCCATAGTTAAGGGGATGGTAATTTAGGTTAAACGCAAACTATCTTAAGAATACAGAGTTATGCAAGTCAAACCTAAAATGATAGTAACAATTCTTCACATTGACTATTTTAAAGCATGAATAGGGGTCACTTGTTCCTTTATACAGCTGGCATTTTATAGCACACACACTCCTTACACCGTTAAGCTAGCCGTGTATTGTGTGAAGAGCAGACTCCATGAAGTGTTGCTACTACCAGGACAGATTTACAGGTATGTTAATTCCACAGACAAACAACTACATATTAACACCTTGCGTTTAAGTCATCAAATTCCTTGATTTTAACTGAGTGAAAAAGTAGCCAGAGAAAGAAATGCTTTTCTTGTGGTTATTTTCTCTATAACTCTTAAAATGCTTCCCAAAGGTCCCGAGGCATCCATAACTCAAATTTACAGCTGGGGTCTGCAGAGGTCCTATGGTCCTGGAAATCCCAGTCTGCCCTGCCTGCACTACGCAACACTCTTCCTCTCTCAGGCACGTAATACGCTCCGAAGCTCTGTGTTGCCAACAGAGAGCACCACATTCACAGACGTACGTATGCCCCATCCTGCCACCCTCTCTTCCCGCAATCAGGCAGCAGACAGGAAACGGGAGACGGACTTGGACTCCTGTGGCACTTTGGCATCCCGCCCCGCTCCCAGCATTAGTAAAAGAGCTCCAGGGCTCTGCGTATTTGCACAGATTCACTGAAGCTAGAGTATCTCCCCTAAATCCTGATGTTGCTGCCTTGGGGCTATTTTCAGGCAACTGAAATTCCAGTTAGCCTAAATTTTCCATTAAGTACATGCTTCAGGAAACCCGCAGCGAGCCAGTAAGACAGAGAAGTCCCAGTGGATTTTCAGTGGAGCTAGGTGATGTGAATATGGCCCTTTTTTGTTTGTTTGCTTTTAGATACATACTAATTTTGGACACTAAAAGAGACATTGCCCACATGCTCCCTTGTGCATCCAGGGAAGCACTAGGCCTGTGAAAATAACTGGTAGTGAGAACCTCCCTGGAGTTGCTGCTTCTTTGTGTTCACTGTGGGCTCAGGAGAGTGAGCTGTGTTAGGACTCAGCTTCAAAGCATGGTGAGAACCACTGATCTGGACTCAGGGGGTCGGGACCTGTAGTTTACTACACTGAAGAGGTGAAGAACCCGGGAATTCCCACTTTCTAGCTGAGTGCTTTAGT